GCCTGCCTTCTTCACAGTGCCTGCCTGGGCCAGGTCAGGAGACAGGGGCTTTGGGGAGACAGGCAGCATGGGGTGCTGTGGGGGGGATTAGACAGGTGCTCATAAGGGCTAATGGGGGAGGACAGACTGGGGCAGGGGCTGAATGGGAGGAGAAGTGCAGGGCCATGTGGTGATGGGGAGGGGGTGCAGGGCCATATAGAGACTGAGCATGGCTGAGTGGGGGCACAGAGACACATAGGGGATGGGGGAGTGGGTGACTGAGTGGGGGTGCAAAGACACAAGGGGACAGGGGAAGATATACCTGACTGGATGGGAGAGGCTAGGGGTCAGCCAGGGTCTGCATGGGGGAAGCTCCCTAACAATCCCTCTCCGCCCCCCACCAAAAAACTGTTCCATACTTTCCCCACCCATATTCAACAATCCTTCAAGTTCACATCAAGGCTCCTTCCCAGCAATTTACTTCCCTCTGCCTCAGTTCCTCTGTTACTCCCAACTCCTCCAAACTTTTGAACTGCTTCTGAGGGGTGCGGGAAATACAGTTCTGTATTGTAGTTTAAATAAATTATTACTCAGAGTTCTATATTAATATGCCTAGTAAGGAACCTATTTGTCAAAAAACACTTCCTGAATCTTTTTTGTCATCTGTATTGTTACAGACATACTTGCTGACAGGTATTTTGAAATAAATTACCACAAATAATTAAAATTGGTGAGATTATATTGTGTTATTTTGACAAATAAAAGATGCAGAATTTGGCAGAATTTTAAAATAGCGTGTGCAGAATTCCCCCAGGAACACTGCAACACTGAGAACCTGAAAGTGAAAATGATTAGGAACAGAAGCAAAACAAGCTGCAAGAAATGCCAGGAAAACAGTATCATCAGTGACATGGGAATTGAATTTCAAAATTATTTCAGTCTAATCTAAAAGGTGTTGATATCAAGTCAAGAAATGTGGGTTCACCCCATCCCCCGTGGTGAAGATGCTGCTTCCTTCACCCATGTTTAATTTGCACCTTACTCTGCAAATTGTCCCACTGACTTCAGCTGGGCAACTTGTAGGGTAAGGAATGACTCAACAGGATTACAGGCAGCAGAATCTGACCCAATACAATTTGACAGCATCCCTTCAAGTGCAATAGAAACCTTTTTCTTTGTCCTGAGATGCTGAGCACCCACAAATCTCACTGGAATCTATGGGAATTTTGACAGTTCAGCACTTGTCAGGATCAGGGCCAAATGCCATTTTCTATAGTTCATGTTATATCTGGAAAAAAAACATGGTTGAGCTGCATGCACAGTGTGGGGGAATAGAGATACACAGTTGAAGTAGAGGGATTCCACCAGCAAAGTGCTCATGAGGTATCCCTTAGCTAAACACACTCATGTTATAATTTGCGCTGCCAATAGTCTGGCTTCACCACCCTTAGCTCAGCTAAATTGCCACAATACAGTGCGTCATTTAAGCTAAATACTACAAGTAAAATGGTTTGTTTCTTTGCATCAGTAGTAACCCAAGATGATCAAGCTGACCAATTAGTTTTCAAATCATTTAAAGTATTTCCAAGAAAAGAGAGGGACAATGTAGTCTACATAACTCACTCTTACTAGCAAACGTGAAGCTAGTGGCTCAGTTGCAGTGCTCTATGCTGATAGACACAGGGACCCAATGTTACATTTTTAATCAATTCAATCTCTTGGTCCCATGACTGGCAACAAGGACTAGGAATGCTGCAGGAGTGGCTGGAGATTGCAAGGTACCAACAATCAGAACATTTAGCAAATGCAGCATTTTTCTTCTTCAAAGTGTTAGACAAACTTTTTTTTTTTTTAATTATAAGCCATGACCAAGAGTAAGCAAGACCCTCATTTTACAGATTGGGAAACACGGAGATTAAGTGATAGACCCACACAGCCTAAGAGGCAAAGGCACAATTCACACTGGGAAGATCCTGGCTCACAGTCCAGCGCTCACAGTCATCACGGCCTCTCTGGAACGTTGGTGACAGACTGTGATGGAAAACCCTTCCGGGTTAGAAAGATGGTGGCTTTAAGATCTCAATATTTCTCAGTTATATTGTGGTAGCACCTAAAAGGGCACAACTAGGTTGGGACCATTTGTGCAGGGCACTGTGCAAAACAAAATAAATGACCTCTTCTCAGCAAGCTCAGTGGAAAGTCAGCTACTGCACCATTTCAGGGGATGGATGGAGAGGAGCAAGACTGAGCTTGTTTTCTTGTGCGGCAGGATCTGAAGTCAGATCTCAATAGGAGAAAGCACACAGAATCCCTGAGCCACCCTCTCCAAATAGCTCACAGTCATCTTGATGGAACCACTCTGCTGCAAATAGGACAAGAACAGGAAGAACAAGGGTGCTGCCCGTCAAGACTGAGGAAAACATGGACTGCAAAAATAAATAAATAAAATACACAAAACAAAAATAGTGGGGCTTCCTTGGTGGCAAAGGGGATATGATGGGTCTCTAAGGGAAAGGGAAATTACATGTTTAGCACCATTGAATCCATCTCTCTGCACACTACTCACTGTTATTGGACCAACTTCTGTTGGTGAGAGACACCAGCTTCTAAGCTTACACAGAGCTCTTCTTCTGGTCTGGGAAACCCAGACCTGAAGAAGAGCTCTGTGTAAGCTCAAATGTTTGTCTCTCTCATGGAGCGAAGTTGGTCCAATAAAAGATGTTCTCTCACCCACATTGTCACACTAATATCCTGGGACTGAGACAGCTACAGCAACACTGCACACCACTCTCGCTGGAAGATAGCAGAAGTATCACGAAAGCAGCTGGGTCATCATTATGCTAACACGTAACTGGATGTTATTTTCGGAACGTATAGGCACCTGGAGAAAAGACATACCATAGCTGTGAAGGTCACACTATTAGGGTGAGTTTACTACTACTGGCATAAGACGATCTAAGTTACGCATAGGTGCTGAATTCTACTGGCGCCGGTGGGTGCTCGACCCTCCTCTGCCCCTGGCCCCGCCCCAACTCCACTGCTGTCCCGCCCCCACCCCAACCCTTTCCCCAAAGTTCCCACCCCAACTCCACCCTCTCCCTGCCTCTATTCCAACTCCTTCCCCAAATCCCCACCCAGGCCCTGCCTCCTCCCCTGAGCACACCACATTCCCGCTCCTCCTGCCTCCCTCCTGGAGCTTGCTACACAGAGGGCAAATGCTGGGTGGGAGGTGGAGGAGCAGGAACACGTCACACTCAGCGGAGGTGATGCGGGGAGGGGAGCTTGGCTGCCGGTGGGTGCAGAGCACCCACTCATTTTTCCCCAGCCCCGAAGCACCCATGGAGTCAGCGCCTATGAAGTTAGGCTACTCCAGCTATGTGAACAATATAGCTTAGGTCGACTTACCTTGGTGTCTTCACTGCGCTGTGTCGACAGGAGACGCTTTCTGGTTGACTTCTTTTACTCTTCTCAGAGAGGTGGAGTACCGGGGTCGACCGGAGAGCGCTCTGCTGTCTATTTAGCGGGTCTTCACTTGATCTGCTAAATTGACCCCTGCTGCACCGATTGCAGCAGTGTCGATCTCCCAGTAGTGAAGACCAGCCCTTAGAAAGGTAACACTGACCTGGATTTTCTCTTGCAAATTCAGATGTAGAGGATCAAATATTGTGTCTTCTTTTAAAATCTCAGCAGGCTGCAACTATGTGCAAAACATTGCAGCCTGAATTTGATTGCTTTGCTCAATTAAATGTGGGGAACAGAGAAGATAGAATTGTAAAGCATCAAAAGTTATAATCCAGACGCTGTTTTAGATGCTTTTTGAGTTTGAGACAGAAAAACATCATTTAAATATAATGTTGCTGGCATTACATGCATTGTCCTCACCAATACTGTAAGTAATCTCTCTCCAAATCAGTGCTAACCAAGAACCAAAAGAATTGAACAAATATCTTATTTCTCCCATTTTCATGCAACCTTGTGTGCAACAGTGGGTATTCTGAGTCTCTCTAGTTTCTAAAGTCATTGGGGGAAAATTGCAGCCTCAAAGTCAATGGGAGATTTGCTTTGGATCAGGCCCATATTGCTTTTCATGTAGGCCAGAGAGAAGTGCTGCTGAGATGGGTATGTTCCCTTTCACCCAATGACATCCCTGAAAGCACAGGAACCTTCATTTTAATTTATGTGTAGGTACCTTAGAAATAAAATCCCATGCTGTTTCCCTGTTGAGAATGACAGATAATTTATTCATATAATTCACATAGTTGGGCAATACTCTACATTTTATCTCAATATGCAAGTGGTAACAAACTTGGACTGATACTAAAATTGATTGTTCAGAAGGCAAAAAAATATCCAGGGTATGAAATGCCCCGGTAAACACTGGTCAATCACAGTGACAGACACCTTTTTTAAAGTGACCTGGTAAACTTGTGTGGTTTTCTTCTAAACCTTCTAATCAACTAGATCTCTCAGTTCATAGAATCATAGAATATCAGGGTTGGAAGGGACCTCAGGAGGTCATCTAGTCCAAGCCCCTGCTCAAAGCAGGACCAATCCCCAATTTTTGCCCCAGATTCCGAAATGGCCCCCTCAAGGATTGAACTCACAACCCTGGGTTTAGCAGGCCAATGCTCAAACCACTGAGCTATCCCTCACCCCAATTCCTTCCTGGGAATTGAGTTGACAAAACAATAAGTAAAGTTTTCAGTACTTCCAACACATGATCAACTCATGCTGCATTCAGACATGTGACATATTAACCCCTTGCTTTCAAAGCAGTGCACTGGAATTTAGATGGGCTAGTGGGTGCTGGGTGGCTATAATCCTATGTAACTTTTTGTAAAGACCACCTGAGATGTTCAGTCATTATGAATATATTTGCTCTTCAGTGGGAATGCAGCAAAGTCTTCAGCTCTTTTCGTATTCATGCAGCTGTGGAGTCCCATTGCAATTCTGCATATTTTAAATAAATTGTTCCCACTGACATTTGTCTCAAACCTCATTAATTTTTCATTAAGCATATATGATTGCATGGAAAAAATTGGTCTTTAATGTGTTTTTGTGCATTAGATTAAAGTTACATACATTATCTTCTAGATGAAATCCAAACATGTACTTTACTTGAAATGTCAGTCGTTATCACAAAACATATCAATAAGTTAAAAGGTTTTCACAATACAAGATTCAGATAATTATTCCACATATACAAAACAATGCTAGAGAAATACAATTTCAATGCCGAATTATGGGGAAAAAAAGGTCTAAAAAAATAGAAAACTCTTGATACCTGGACATCAACTCAGAACGTAACACTGCATAATGCCGCAATATGAGCACCCATTTAATGAGAAATCCCCTGGAAAGAGACGTGTAAGGGGATCTAATATTTATGACAAAAATAGATGAATACTGCACCAAAAGGCATGCATACAATCGCCATGGTCATTCAATATGTTAGTGATGATCTAAAGTGTGACGTAAGAGAAGAGTGAGGCAGTGTTCTCAAATCAAATCAAGTGAATGACTACATGTTGATTAAGCTTTCTGAGGCAGCAAAGTGAGGGCACAGAGCCATGTCTGGATTCTGGAGCTGTTTTAAAATTTGCTTGTGAAATTTCTCTCGCACACGGTTAAACTCCATTATGTCCAGTGGATCCTCTTCAATCCAGAATTTATGGAATTCATGCATCAAATAGCCTAAAAAAAATTCAATATTTAAAGAATTGGAACACAGGTAAAGATCTTCTCTTGTCTACAGAATAGCAAGCACTGCAATCAGACATCATAATGCATACTGTGGGGTAGGTGAAACTAGTACCATTGAAGTCTGATGTATTATTTGATGAAGCTGTGTTAATCATACTAAGAAATAAAGCACTACAGCATACAATATTAAAACAAGCCTCTAAGAGGCATCTTCAAATAATGAAAATGAAATAACTTATAAAGATGTGCTCGCAATAGTAATGGAATTACTATAATGTACTACTTAACAGAAGAAAATATACTAATTCTAGGACACCAAGAGCTCCCATTCAGGAGGACATTTACTCATGTGTTTTAAAGCTTTCCCAAATTGGGATGTTGTCTTGAATTAAGGCCTGAATTTAGAGAAGCACTTTTGAAAGATTACTCAATTGCTAATGCAAACTTTAAAATTTTTATTGTTACCTATATCAATGAAATGGCCCAACTTTACCAATAAATTACTAAAATAAATCTCTAATTACTAGATCTCTCCTCTCTTGATATGCAGTTATAAAATTGTTAACTTACGCCTGGATAAAACAAGTGAAATACAAAATATATTTTAATATTAAACTGCAGGCTATAAGTATTAAGAGATGACATTATTAATAAGAATCAGTCTTTACCAAATGTCTTTTGTTTATATTCAGTTATTCTCATGCTCAAATATCTATGCAACAACACTTACTCTATATTATAAACAGCCTCTAGGGAAGTTCGATAATAAAATATTTACTGAACAAGCCCTACACTTAAAAACCATTTAATTTATGAATTGTGAGTTAACCTAACTTACAGTCTGAAAACAACTAGTTACTGGATCTTTGCCAGGAACATTCAGTTTTACACGTCTTTCTAAACACGAATAAAGGATTCCACCATATTGGCTTTGCACATAACTGTGGCTAGACAAATGCCAGGGGCAAGAAATAATTGGCCTTGGAAAACCCGCCTTGTGTAGGGAAAAGGCATGAGATAAAACATATACCCTATGATACCTGCCCTGATAAAGGCATTGTTTTTATTCTTTGCTCCCTCTGTGATTTCTGCATCACTTTTTCACCAGTGGTCTGGAGGTAGAACATTGTCAACAAACAGCTCTGTGTCAAGAAATACTATGGGTTGTGTAGTCCAGTTCAGCAAAGCACTTAAGCATGTGCTTGAAGCCAACAGGCCTTACACACAGCCTTATGTGTTTTCCCGAATAGGGATGGACTTAAACATATGCCATGGGCTTTGCTCAATCAGGACTTATTCCAGGACACTTTTGTTATGTACTTTATTCCATCTTTGGTTTGATAAACATCTCACTCAGTCTATTCACTTTCAAAATGGTGCCTTATTGCTAGACTTTACAAGCTACACAGTGGATTCCATGGTTAATTTATAAACAATACCATTTTCATGTACTTGGGCAGACAGATACTCCTCCTAAAGCTGGAAGGTTTTTCTTTGAAGGAAAAACCTAGCTCAGCAAAACACCCTTAATAATTATTATTAAAGGGAAATATATCATGGTTGTGATTCTCATGATCCAGGTGTTTCAAAAGTATTATTATTTATACAGCATGAGAAGTGGCTTGGTGTTCAGCATGAACGGTTATTTTTATTACATCAAAAGGAACTTCATATTAATGAACGATACAGAATTGAGTGCATTGCTTGTAGTATCAAGAGATTTCAGTGCTGCCGTGGGAATGGTGAGTCAAATTCTGCACTCAGCTACGCCCAGGCAAACCCACCAAAGTCCAGGTGGACTGGATGGCTGCAGACGAGAGCAGAATTTGGCCCAGTATTGGAGAGGTCAAATCAGTACAGCTATTGTATTCTTTCACCTAGAAAGAGTGCTTGCTGTGCATTGCAATTTTGATTTTCAGATTCAGACATACAGCCTTCAGGCATTTACTGCAGCCTAATTGTGTTTCAATTTTTCTCAGCTGCATTCAATTAGTTGAAACCTAGGATGACTAAGGCCGTGGGGGAAAACTGAGTGTGTAGTGCGGAAGAATACAGAACTGTGAGAGTGAAAAACTGCGTGAAAAAAACAATTCATAATGCCCCCCACTTCCCAAACAAACAACAATGTATGTTTGGCTTGGTCAGTCTGTCAGATATTTGATCATAGAGAAAGCAGCACTCCTTCCCTACATATATCCTGACTTTCTTCCCACACACAATCCCACCACCTTGGGACCACTCCAGCCACCCCACATCCCCAGCAGCTCCACCATCTCCCCAATCAGCATGGGAAGTCTACTCCACCATGGAATTCTTAGCCTTGTGGTTTTTATCTCACTGCAGCATTAAGCTAGGAGAGAGGGTGGTAAATGTAATTTCTTAGCCCTATAGTGCCTGCTCCCAAACGGTCTCCATGTCTGGTCAGGGAACTCCCCTGTTTTTGTAGGCACACAGAACAGGCAGTGAAATAAGATGGAATTGTAGAGTCAGTAAAGATGGGAGCAGAAAGAAGCCTCTGCAATGGGATCACCAAGCAGAACAGTGACATCTGGTGGCTGGAGTGGAGCACTGGCACACAGAAAACAAGCGGTCACCTCTGGAAAGGCTTTTCTAAAGTGTAAAAATTACTTAAAACTTTGTGGATTTCACAAGACTTTGAGGATGCAGCAACACTGGAGATAACAGACAATGTGAAAACAACATGGGCCTATCCAGAAGATCCACTCACTCACTCAAAAAACTAAGGCACACTGGCCAAGAAGGGATTTGCAGAAACTGATGACTGGACAGCGTCAATGAGAAAGTCTCTGAAAGTCCGCTGAAAAAGAGCCTTTGAAATGTTGAAGTATCTATTCCTCTTTGTTTGGCAAACAACTCATTGTAAACTGACCTTAAACACACACATTCAGCTGTAGTCTGCAGAGATTATAGTGGAATCTTTGTATCTGTCACATGCCACACAGTAAGAAGGTTAGCTCCCCTGAATTTATGCTAGCCTGCTCCAGCCAGCTGTGACAACCCAGAATCCATCACAAAACCACAGGGGCTGATCCTTGCTGGTGTATAGAGCTTGCCCACAGGGTAATGAGTCATCTTATACAGGAGCACAGTTCTGAAGAGCATTAGTGAATATTTTAAGCACTTTAAGATTTATTTACTATATCTACCAGCCAGAAGCATGTTAGGCACTTTACAGACATAAAATAAGACTGGTCTCAGCCCCAAAGATCTTATTGTAATCTAACCAAAACATTAGAAGGGGGGAACAAGCAATACAGTTATTGACACTATTTCCATTCCGTTTGTCTCTGATGATCCTACTTGAAAAAAAGAAATCTAACACCTTCAACTTCCTCTTGTCAAATGCTTGCTTATATTATTTTCCATTTTATTTTCAGCTCCTTCTCATTCTAACCCATATCCCCCCACTCCCCCCCCACACACTTCATCCATTAATTCATTCCCTTCTCTAACCTCAACCATCAGACGCTACCAAATGCTGCCTACTAGTTAACTCCAGATCTTACTCTTTCGTAGTTCAGGCAGACTCTCCTTTCCCTGTACCATCATCAGAAGCTCCAAACCATTTACAGGATTTCTCATCCTGAAAAGCCCCTTTTTGTAAGTTCAATTTTTAATTTTTCTTTAAAGTTAAATTCAGATCCTAATTCACCAGTTGTGCTGAGGTAGTGGAAGGCCCTATCCTTCTGAAAAAGGTCCAGCTGCCAATGCATCAGTTCATCACTCCTATTTACAGTGCTGAGTTCCTGCTCCGTAGTATCCGTATCATAGATGTTCTGCAGGTAAGCACTGCAGAGTGGATAGGAGATTATATCGAGAAAGAGGGGTCTGGCTTGGATAGATGGGAGGAGTCCTTCTGTATGATTCTGTCATTCCCCCTCCCCATCTTTTTCCTGAACTGGTTCACCTGTCTGTTTTGCACAACAGCATACATAGTATGCTCCGGGGTCCAAACATCACAAAGATAAAATAATAAGATTAGGATGATGCCCACCCGTGCTGCACCAACGTTGTTCACTGCAATTCACCATCCGGGAGTGATTTTAAGGCAGTGTTACTGGTAATGCAAACAAAACAAAAAACTTACAGAATGTTTGTTGGAAATGGGATAACGTCGGAGCCTCTGGAGCAACATTGTAGAAATGGGTCTTCAGCGCGCCACTCACAAGCAGGTTGTACGCAAGGTCAGTTATGTTAATGCCAACAATAGCAAAAGAGTAGCTGGAAGAAAAGTAAAGAGTAGGATTTATTGGAAATGCTGGTGAAACTAAAAGGCTGGGGGAAGTAAATTCCCACAGATTTTGCTTTTAAGAATAATCCTTGACATTGGTTATTTTCCCTTATCTGACAAGGCTCTTAGAACAAAGTAACCGAGAACAAAAAATATTTATCCTCTGTATTCTGTACATTTTAATGGCAGTATTACACCTATGATATCTGCCTGTACCACACTGAAAATAAGAGTTTCATCATCTTGCTAATCATTTCCACAGAAGCACCATGGAAATATTTCTGTGGAAGAAGAGTAAGACCTGCTTATTAACGTCTTGGTGTTCTTGAACTCATTGTAGAAAGGGAGTGCCACACATGACACAGTTTTCATTATGACAAGTAATTTGTTATTATTACTGCCCTGCTACACTTTAAACTACCACTTGTATTATACGTACAGAGTTACCCCGATAGTGAAGAATGTCAGCTCTGGACCAGCACGAGATTAACAAAACTGCCTAGAAGGGTATTACACAGTCTCTTTAAACATTTAAAAAAAAAGCCTGTTGAAAATATGCATAGGTTCCCTGCTTGTCCTAGCAGACATTGGAAATGATAAAAATGGATAAAATATTCTTTGAATGCCCACAGGTTTACTTTGCTGTTGGAAAAATCCCAAACAACATGTAAATAAATCTCTAGTATAATGATTAAGTTACCTCACTATAGATCAAAGACCTGTTTGAAATGGAAATGAATTATCTGCATAATGGTGCAACATCCTACACAGTCAAGAAAGTGAATGATCAAGGAAGATGTATTTTAATAAGCAGTCAATATGGCCCTTGTGTTAAGAAAAAGGACATTATCCCTTGATTTGTGATCCTCATTAAACAAAGGAAGTAATGCAGTCATGCCTAAATCATGGCTAAGAAATCCCACATCATTTATCCCAGGCCACACATCCTGTTAGTATAGTTGGTGGCAAGTGGCCTGTTAATAAATCACAACTTGTCTGTGCCACAGTCAAAAGTGAGACCCCACCTCATGAAGTTTATTCAACCCTTCATATGTGCAGTTACACAGTCACAAGTAAACGCTTATCATTTTAAGAAGTCCTTCCAGTTACTAAGAAGCAATTAGAAAAGTAGTACATTAGATAATCAACGTATGGCTAAGATAAGCATAAAATAGCAAATGGTGTTGTTAATACTGACATTTCATTAAAAATTGAATTAAAAAAGTTCTTTTTTATAAAGAGAACAAATTTTTACATGTACAACATCAATCAGCGTCATTGTGCTTATGTCAACTTATTTTTAAAGATCTTGTACTTACCCAATTGCCTTATCAAACTTTTTCTTCTCCCATTCAGCTTTGCTGAATTGGCTGAAAAAATGAATTCAGATGTTACCATACACTGCTTTCCAATTTGTTTTATACTGTAATGTTATCTAGCACAGGCTGGGTACTTTAAGTGCAGCGGAGCTGTCTAGTAGTATTTTTTTTTGCTTCTATGATTTTGTCGCAGTTTGATCAAACTCGTATAATAGGTTTTAAGTGAGATTAGCTTTCTTGACTTATAGCATCATCCATGTATTGTTCTCATCAGTGCAATCTGAAAGGAGGCTGTGGCTATGCTATTCTCCCAGTCAAAATCAATTTATTCTGTAACCTCTTCAAAAAGATGGTCCACCTCACTTAAACTTGAACAAGTGCTCAAAACCCTACATTTCTTTTTAACTTTGATCAAGGATGACTTTAGCCTTTGGTGTTCTCCAAGATATACATGACATGAACCACTTGAAACAAACATGAAAAATAGTACTTCTCCAATAGAGAATGGATAGGAGAAATGTTACCTTAAAGAATATGCTTTTTATTAATCTGAGTAAATTAGCAGCTACAATTTAAGGAACATTCAAAAGCAGCCATATTTAATGCCTAATAATTACAAGTCTAGAGCAGTTTTTAGATGCTTATGCATCACTCAAAAGAGACAATTAACAAAGGAACTTCTTTATCTTTCAGGATGAAAGATAATACAAACGAGGATTTGACAATGGAAAGATTTGTAGAAAAGCTAATTTGATACAGTTTACAGAGTGTCAGTTAACTGAGGTTTCACTGGTCATAGCTGAAATTCCAATGACGTTAATGGGAGTTTTGCCGGAATAAGCACTCAGGAGAGTTTTCAGAGTTTGGACCCACTATAGGGAAATATACTTGAGTGCAAACAATACAGCCACATGCGATGTTTAGATTGCACCTGAATTGTGAGAACTCAGACTATATTATACAGTACATACTTCCATGTACATATCATTTAGAATAATTTTTGCATGATTATAAATATCCACATTTAGTCCTTCAAAAGATATTAAAGATATTAGCAGAACAAGGATTTGTGCACACATTCATCAGAATGCTGACCCACTTATCTTCCCAATCTACAAAACTTTATTTTTCATCTCATGCAAGTGGTGAAAGCCTGAAGGGGGTTTATTCCTGGCCCAGTGAAGGAGACACCATATTTAAAAGGTGTTCACATTTAGTGTCATATCATCATAGTGGAAGGTGAAACAGGCTCAGTGGTGTCTTCAAATGAAGATAATGAATTGCTAAATGAGAAGATAGACCAGTAATACAATTCAATAGAAACAAACAACATTCATCATCATCATCACACGAACACCAGCATAGCCACTAAAAAAAGCACATCAACAAACAAAGAGCATCACTAGAAGCATTTTACTCTCTGTGGGTGCTCTTTCAAGGATGGAGCATGCATTCCAAAAGGTTTCTAAGTAACATAACATATAAATGAAGAATATTAATGGAACTGATATTCCCTGTCTCACAAACGGGCCATTGGAATATACATATTGCTCGCGTAGCTACATTGGTGTGAAATTCCCTAGCACTGAAAGGCTCATAATCCAGATTCAATTTGCCATGTAAACTAATGAAAATTTTAATTAAGATCTTTTTTTTTCCACATTGAAGGACAAAACCATTTAAAAATAAACACGACATACCCTGTTCATTAGCAAATACAAGTTTCCTTTCATGAAGATGCTAATGGTAAAAAACAAACAAACAAAAAAAACCCCTGTCCCCCATCCACACGGTGGGCAATATAAAGATTAGGTAAGACCAACTGGAAATGAAGCAAACTCTGCTAAAAATAAAACAAACAAAACTTAATAAAGAGATTAAAAAGAAGTCGCGTACAATAATTAACTGACAGGGTGCCTATAACTTCTGTATGGACTTTCCCCCCCTTATAGCTTAAATCAAAATAAATAAGATATAAAGACTACCGGCCTAGGTGCCAGGTGGTCTCAAATCCTATTCCTGTTCCTACTGCTGGTTCTGACAGGCTTTCATAATACTTTGCGCTTCCATTGTATACAACACAAACATTTAGCGAGGAGATGAATTAAAGGGGACACATGATAGATGTATATAAATTAAGGTATGGCCTAGAGAAGTTAATTGGTCGCTCCAATTTTCATATTCTCTTACTACAAGATTAAGGGGATGTCCATTGACACAAACAAATTTTAAAATAACACAAACTGCTTTTTTATGCAATGGATGTGGAACTCATTGTCACAAGGTATTACAGAGGCCAAGAGCTTAGCAGGACTAAAAAATGGATTCTTTACGTGGATAATGAGAACACAAGGGATAAACATTTTTGTTCTTTTGGGCAACTAACTACCTGCATGTATGGAGGGTGGGAGGGGGGAAAGAAACTTTCCCTACAGATAGTCTTTTCCATTATTAGCCATTACATTAGCTTTTTGCACCTTCTTCTAATATATCTGACACTGGCCAGATCTGGTATGGCAGTGCCAAGGTAGCCAGGTGATCACAATTAAGGAATACCAGACAGCTGACATGAACAACTTGTAAGCTTAAAATTGTTAGCCCAAACTATTTGGCAAATACTTATGACTAGTAAGTCAGGGTCACAGAAGTCTGGAACCATTTGCATGACCTAAGAATTTTAATTAAAGAGCTAAATTTGTACACATTTTATTTTCAACAAATAATTTGACCAGTTGTAGCTACAATATGCAGAATCTTCTATAAATATGAAGCAAGGCTGACATTTGATCTTATATACATCAGCATGTTTAATTGCACCATATCCTTGTGCAGCTAGCAAGATTTGGTGACCACTGCAGCAGTGAGCTGAAGAAGGGAATATATCAAGTACACCCTTGGAGAATGCTTGCATAAATGATGGGTTTACTCCAAATATGGTTTGATCTTTATTTACATGTAAAATCTTACAAAACTGAAAGGAAAGAAAAAAATACCTTAGCTCCTCTTTAGTGACTTCTCTTCATTGTGAAAGACAAGAGAGAATTAAAGAAAAGCACATAAAAAGATAAGTAGCTTAAAATTAAAAGAATATGGAATAAAATGAAAATATTTAGCAATACAATAAACTATATGTCAGATTCAGTACATGAAATACATGAGTTTGTCCTCTCAATCTGATTAATTTACAGTAGCTAGCCATGTTAATTAGAGACAGGGCTGGTCTATAAGGCGAGCTAGCTTTTCAAACAGCAGTAAGTCAAAGCACACTAGGGAACTTTTAGTACATGACAGGAGGGTCCGTATGGCCACCTGAAGATTTACACCCCAGCTTGCCGTGCATTAACTCTCCACATAGACAGCCCCAGAGACAGCATATAGCAATACTCAAGCACGCAAGTCTAACAAAAATTTATTTGAAGCCAATTTATTGTTCGCCTCAAACATTACCTGTATTTCGGCTGAAGGGAATCGGAGAGAACTTGCTGAGCTATTGCAGCATCCCGTTCGGCAAAATATCTGTAGGTGCACACATTTAAATACTTAATGCAATTTGTGAACAAAGTCAGGAAATTCTTAATGCTGGTAAGCTATACTCATACAATTGTCCCAGTCCTTTCAAATATTGCCAAGGGCAGTTCTGCATAGGTACGATGGTATATAAAATGCTTTAATATATTGATAATCTATTTTAAAAACTATCAGTGTGTATATATAAAGTATCCAGATATCTTTATGTACATATTAAGGAGTGCGTGTGACATGTCCCACCTCTGTCCCTGATGCACACAGGATAGGAGTTTGTTACAGCCCCAGCTACAGAGCCGTGGCACTTGAGCTCAAAGTGGAGCAGCTCCTGCTTTTAGCTCTGGAGAACCCCAGTTCTATTCCCAAATTTTCAACTAAGATATTGGCCGTCACAATACCACAATGAGAAGTAGAATGGGAACGATTTCTCTTGTGATTAAAGCTCCGAATTCGGAATCAGGAGCCGGAATTCTAAGATAAGCTCTGCTACAGACCGACATGGCTGAGTCGCTCAACCTCTCTAATTCCCACTCGGTACCATGAAGTAAACACTTCCCTGACCTCACAGGGATGCTGTGAAGCTGAATTTATTAAATAATTGTAAAATACTTAGATATCTTTAGATCGAGGAACGGGAGAAGCACAGGACTTTTATTTAATACTGACAGAGATGTCAAAAATCAAACGGCCAGATATTATGTTTGCAAATAATGAAAATTTAATGGCTGTTTAAAATTCACCAAAGCAATCATAGCTACATTTCTTTCAGCACCTAATTCTAAGGTTGAATGTGATGTAACTGCAGACAACAACCAACAGGGACTACATTTGATCAGTTCCAACCAAGAAGTCAGAACAAAACTCCCAAAAGGAGAAAACATATGTAGACAGACAGACAAGTTTTTTATATTTTATACAGAGTGTATCTTTACACACAAAGAATACTATAAAGCAAAATAAATGCTATATGCCTAACGGAAATGTTTCTGTTCTCATGTTTAATTAATGTTTCACAAATGCGTCCAAACACAACATAAACACAATTAACAGTAAACCATGGGGGATTGTCTAAATTTCAGGATTCATGGATTAAGTAAAAAAGTTTTTTTTTTTTTAAAGAAATATTTCCATCTCAAGAGAAAATTGGATTTTTTTGGCACAGTTTTCTGAGATAAGAGTCTTCAGTGTTTCAGGAATTATGCCTACAAACTGTTAACAATATCAACATTTGTGTTATATTTGTATAAATTGCATTACATCTTCAAACTCAAGTATCTGTATATCTACTTACAACAAATTATATAATCCCAGTAGGCCCATCCCTCTAAAATCTGTTTTAGGATCGTCTCCTTGGAAACCAATTTCACACCACTGCTTCGAAATCCGAGCTTCCAATGGGCAATCAGGCTTCAAACATTTCCATAACTAGGAATATTACAGAGAAGTTAATGATTAAGTTTTCGTGCATATAGTTGGTCTTCATTTTTATGAAATTCTCCATGCAACCTAAGTGCATCACTATGCATAGAATTCAGCAACTAGAGCCTGTGGCCAGGTACCAGCCCCTAAAAGTTTTTCTTTAATACTGCGAACAGTTCAAATACTACCCTAGGAAACCCCCTTTGACCTTATACAAGAGTTGTACAAACCCTCACAAGCACTCCTTTCTTTATACTTTATGCATCGAAATAGAAACTTCCTCCATAAGCAGAGTCAGAAATACGTTAGCATTTTGCTGAAAATAACTGACATGCCAGCAGGCAATCAGCCCTCTCAGTTCCATAAGGCTCTGCAGCAATCTTTTCTCAGACATCTTTTGCAATACTCTAGAATTATCGGAAATTGAGAGTGCTGCACTAACACTACACTGAAAATATAAAAGAGAAAAACCTAAACAGGAATGGCATAGTTTACCCTCCATACTTAATTCAAGGACGAGGCCTTCACTGAGCTCACATAAAAACAAAAGGAAAAATTACCATGATTTAAACTGGTGTAAATCAACCTAGCTTCACTGGCCCACAGTATCTAGTTGTGGGTACAGATAGTAGGAGAGATTGGTCATTTTCATAGGCATTTTAGATGCCTTTGCTCCTACATATCTTTTTACAGTCACCATTTTAAAGCTGTTTATGAAAGCACATCCACAGTGAATACCATGCCTAGATACAACTGCAATGCGCACCCAATAAAATACTTAAATTGGCAGGATTATTCAAATAAGAGGCACACAATGTACATATTTCTGTACCATGGTATAAAGCAATACATTTGCTCATTCTGATGTGAATAAGACAACTGTTAATCTAAAATCTACTGACACCATATCATCAGCTCACTCATATACTCTTGACCAATGTCTCAAGGAGCACACTCATGAAGCAGTATTCCTGAAGTGCAAAAAGTCATTAAATACTTGGGGGGGGGATGAAATTCCAGAACTCATAATTTATAATATTACAGAAATTTCACATTCTAGAATTCAAAATGCATTTTTTAAAACTTTATAAAACCATTTGTTCAACTTTTAAAAAATTAAGCTTTATCTTTGTTAACATTTCCTGTTTTATCATGGTATGCAATAGCATGAGATATTTTAAGCACATTTCCTAATTCTTGCTTATACAGCTAGCAACAGTATTCAATGCATCAATGTTATTCTTCACTAGTTCAATCACATTAGATAAATCTTTACCTTATCTCACAAGATAACTTCTGGTAACATGAATAAATAATAACCATTAAGAACTTGGAGAATTTCCCACTGGAGAGATCATTTAATCAGAATGTCTAGAAACAATGAAGAGGAATCAACATAATCTTTCCTGATGTGAATTGAAAACAAATCGAAGTCCCAGACAGACCACTATTTGGTATTCACTAACTCTTATGTCAAAAGCATGTTGTAAACTGATCCTTGATATATGGTATGGGAGGCAAATAGTGGAGAAGGGACATCAAAGTCCTTATTTTAAAAACAGAAAGAACTTTACTGTTTAAAAGGAAATATGCACAACTGTTCCTCTCATTATCATCAGTTTCCATCTGGCTTTAGTTCTAATTTAGGAGAAAAAAAATTCAAAAGCACCTTTGTGATTTAGGAGCCTACATCCCAAAGAGATTCAGGCACCTGGGGGAGGCCAAGGTTTTAAAATTATTTAGGGACTTAAAGATGCAGATAAATGCCTACTGGCATTTTCAAAAGCACTTAGGCAGTTAACTCCCATGGATTTCAATGACTCCCAGGTGACTCCTTTTAAAATGGGACTTAGGCATTTGTGAAAGTTTTACCCACAATGACTCACCCTTGGCTATCATTCTGCAAAGTTACAAATGATGTTGCAGAGGATGGTGCTGCTATTCAGAAACACCAATTATAAAACAATCAAATGTTTGTTTTTTCAAAGCCTGTTCAAGTTTATTCATGATGAGAAAAGCTTTCAATTTCAGGAGTTTGCTGGGTGGGATAGGTGCATTAGGAGGAAATTTTTCCTTGGGGGCAGGTTATCCCCATACCATTTATTGCAGAGCTTCTTGTACCTTCTCTGAATCATTTGGTCCTGGGCACTGTCGGAGACAGGATACTGGACTGCATGAAACATTGGGCCGAATCATTATGGCAATGGATACTTTCCCCATAACTCTACCTCTTCTTCAGCTCTGACTGCTACAAGGAAGGGGTGTCTGCTGCCCTATCCCATCCCACAGCTTCTGTTTTTGAGCCCTGTTCTTCAGTGAATAACACGAGTGCCTGCTTCTGCTTAAGCACAGGGCTGTCCCCAAAGAACTGCACAGTGATTCTGATCTGATTCCTATCAGTTTCATTGCTGCCAACAATGATTCTGAAGAGCAGCACTGAAAACTCACTAGACTCGTCAGTTTTGGCTCTACGTAACCTGGAAACCAGAACTGACTGACTGCATTATTACTTTAATTGTATATTATTACATATGAGTTTTTATACATCTATTCAATGCCCACACACATACCTGATTTTGAAATAATGATAGCTGGAGATCTGCTTCTGGTGTAAGAGGCCAACACATTCAAAAACAAGAGAATTTACTTTGCCTAATGCTGGAGAAAATAAGCTCGGTTCTTTTCTTGAAGGAAATATTCACAGTCCTTCACTACAAAAATGACAGCTCAGTTCTATTGCCAAAGTAAGCAAGAGCGTGGGATTGTCAGGTAAGTGACGGACATCTGTGGGCTCGTCCGAATGGCAGAACCTATTTCTAGGTTTTATGTTTATGACAAAAGTGGGAATTTTTGGCATGGTTTTTGTGAACATGTGTCTCCCCCATCAGACTTTGCATTCTTATCCTCTGGGAGCAGAGGGGTTAAAATGCTTCTCCTAGAACAGAGGTGTGACACTGGCAGACCAGGTGCCAGGCCATGCCAAGGTCCCCAGGCCTCAATTGAATACTGACAAATACACAGCTGAAATCAGTCTGGCTCACCTGTGTGTTAGTAATGTTAAAATAGGTGTGAGAATTACAAGAATGTGTTTAGACTTTACTGAATACTTGTGAGTTGCTGCATGCATTAATCTCACTTATAACATCTTTATCCCACATTGTAAAGTAATATTTAAGCATTTGCACTGTATGCCTTTTTAACTGTGTAGATCACCAGACAGGAGAGAGACATTAACTACAGTAGAACCTGACAGTTGCGAACACCAGATTTATGAATTGACTGATGAACCACACACCTCATTTGGAAGTGGAAGTACGCAATAAAAAGCAAATACTCTACAGCGCAGTACTGTGTTAAACAAACTACCAAAAAAAATAAAGGGAAAGTTTAAAAAACAAGATTTGACCATGGAAGGAAACTCTGCTGGTTTCATTTAAATTAAGATGGTTAAAAGCAGCATTTTTCTTCTGCACAGAAAAGTTTCAAAGCTGTATTAAGTCAATGTTCAGCTGTGAACTTTTGAAAGAACCACCATAATGTTTTGTTCAGAATTATGAACATTTCAGAGTTACGAACAACCGCCACCCCTGAAGTGTTCATAACACTGAGGTTCTATTGTAGTGTGAAATGCTGGTCTCCAACAGAAGGTGTTCTGTCCTGCCCAAGGAGGAAGGTCCATTGACACCAGAAGGGTTACAACGGAACATTAAAGAGGACAAAAGACTTGGTTGTTTACTCTCGCTCCCCCAGGAACATGAGTCTTGCAAGTGGATTCCTCCCATCAGCTGAGTTTGCCGCTCAGAGCAGAAGGGGGGAAAAGGAATAAAAACCTCTAACAAGGAAGAAGTGTATGTTTATGCCGCTCGGACTCTAAGGAGCAAGAATTACTAGGCATAAGCAAAAGATCCCCAGTGCTTACCCTGGATTAGCCCTAAAGGACATATAGAGCTTGCTTATTACAGAAGTTTCTATTACTTTTTTGAAATTTAAGATTGGAACTCATTTGTTTATGTATGTTTATCAGCTTTACCTTGTAAGTAACTCTCTTATTTCCTTTTCTTTTTATTAACTCTGTACATAGTTTATGATAGGACTGGCTACAAGCGTTGTCTTTGGTGTGAGATTTAAGGTGCAATTGACCTGGGGAAAGTGACTGGTCCTTTGGGACTGGGAGTAGCCTGAATATTGCTGTGATTCACGATGTAAGGTACTATCTCTGTCACAAAGGAAAGCTTACCTGGGTGGCAAGACAGATTGGAGTACCCAAGATGAGAGTCTGTGACTCCATGTTAAGGCTGTTATAATGCCTCAGGAATTTACACTTGATTTGTTGGTGAAATCTAATTACAGAACCCACAACCAATTTGGGGTTTGTGCCCTAGTTGGTAACAGTCTGCCCTGAGGTTGGTACTCACGCTCTTGATCCACAGCATGACAGCTTGACAAGAGGAAAGGCATAAGGTGCTTGGATCATGTAGGTGTCCGGGGTGGTATGAATTCACCATCAAGAGCTGGCTGGAATCAACATATTTGAATGGAAGATTCTACAGAAAACCGCCATGACTGAAGATTAATTCCTAGTGCAAATAACTTCCTTTCCTCCACCTTTCTGAAGGGAAGCAGAGCTCAAATCCCTAACCAGAGAACAATGGAGTAAAGGTGTCAGGGGCCTGTGACAAACACAGAGTTCTCAGACATACAGGCGCTCTCACTTGGGACTGAGAGACAAAGGGACAGTGTGAGAGTGCTAAAATGGATTCCAGTACAAGCTTGCCTAATGGAGCCCTGGCTTTAGCCAATATGAATTCTGTCTTAACCTTTGGTTCTCTGTACAAACCTAAGGACTTCCCAACACTGTATTCCAGTTGACTATTAAAACCTACCCTGTTTTGGAAAAGATTTCCTGTTGTTGATGGTTCTACTTACTAATGTGCACTGATCCCGAAAGGGAGTGGAAAGTCTCTGAACAGGAGTCTACCTCAACTGGATTCACAGTTCAGAGCTCATGCCGAGAAACAAGGATTGTTGGATCCCGAAGGCCAGTCTCGGAGGTGTTGAGGCCATGTGGCCAACCATTCTGGAAAACTGTGAGCCCCTGAAGGTCTGACTGTTTAAAGGCAGGGGCATACCACAAAGCCTGTAAATCCATGACAGTGTTCATAAATAAGTGCAATGTAGCTGCATGTCTAGCAACTTACAACCTGTGTTGACAAATACTGCTGTAATATGCCATTTTAGGAGAGTATGGAGGAAGTTAAGACATACCTGTGGAAACTGTGTATGACACTTTTACAAATAGGGCATGTGGAATCACCAGGAATCAAGTGTTCTATGCCAAAGTGATTCCAGCACTCACCTTTAGAAGCTTCTCTTCATGTTGGGGATTCTCTGAGTCATATGGCTCTCTGCGCAGCTTTTCAACCTCTGCAATCAGATTTCTGTACCCTACAATCTGTAGGAGACAGGCCTGAAGAGATACTCCTAACCTAAGCAAAAAGAAGTCAAACAATGATGAAGTGAGCTGTAGCTCACGAAAGCTCATGCTCAAATGAATTGGTTAGTCTCTAAGGTGCCACTAGTACTCCTTTTCTTTTTGCGAATACAGACTAACATGGCTGCTACTCTGAATACTGTACACAGCCACTTAATTTATATGAATATCCTCAATGAATCAAAAGCTTTAATAAGTTTAATTATGGTGGAAGAATTTTAATGGGGTCAATTCTTCTCACCAGAAAAACTACATTTAAAGAGATCGTGTACACTGCACAATTTTGCTATTTACTAGCTTTCTTTAGTATTTGGACTTTCTTTTGTAAGTTAATACTCCTCCCTATCCCCACCCCAAACAGCAGTGAAATCTCTCTTATTTGTTAACATCCCATTCTGACTGTATACAGCAGCCATGTGGATGCCTGCTGAAAGGACTGCATCAAATCTTTCCCTTCACGCAAACCACAACTTCTCAAAAAAAAAAAAAAAAGCCCTGAGACCAGCAATGAACTAAAAAAATCACATTGAATTAATCACTGAAACTATATGTTTTGTTTCCATGTCACAAAAGCCCACACAATACAGGAAAAACCTGAACTAATGCGTCTTATGCAGCCTTTATGGGATCTGCCCTTAGGTTGTTATTTTTTGCCTCACATGCTGAGAACTGCCATAATTTTTTTCACTCTGTATTTTAAGTCAAAACATTTTAGATTTTTATGCACCATTTAAAAGTCACTAGGCTTCTAATGCTTTAAATTAAGGCAATTTATTCAAGTGTTAGTTTGGACAGTCTACAGCATATTATTAAATGCAATTATATACTGAATGTTACTGAATACCTTTCGCATCTCATATGGAAACATGCTATGAATATTTAGGCATGTATTTTAACAACATTTCCATAAAATCTCAAATTAATATAATCCCTAACATGAGTAAGGAAAGCACAATCAGCTTAATTTCAAAGCTGTTTGCATGCCACTAAATCATAGATATCAGAGATGATAAAGATCTATTAGGTTATCTTGTCCATCTCTCTAAAAATGCAAGACTGTCCTGTTCAGTACTTCGTTTAATCTATTGTAGTATTAAATGACTTGAGCATAAAGACTTCCACTTCTTATCTTTGAAGACTATTCCGCTGAGTCTTTCAGATATCACCACTAGGATATTTTTCCTTGCCTCAGTTTCATACTAGGACTTCTAGTTATACACGCTTGGTCTACCCTAAACAAGTGTCTTCTCCTCCTTTGGTGTTTACATGCTTCACTTTTTATATGTTTCATTTTTATAGTACCTTTCATTCCAAAGGATGAAAACATGCTTCATTAAACTACATGTGAATGCTTTCACCTCACTGCTAAAATGCTGCCACAACTGGGCTTAACCACAGCAATGACAAATCGCAGTTTAGAGCAGGGAACTAAGAATACCATTGGCAGCTGAAACTGCAAGGCTAATTTAGATAGACAAAAAGTAATTATTCAAATTAGAATTTTTTTTAAATTAATATTTATACAATTTTTGGACACACTTTTAAAATTTGTAGTATACACACACTATATCTGTCTATAGATAGATGTATGGATAGATTCCAAGGTCAGAAGGGACCATTATGATTATCTAGTCTGAAGTCTGGTATAACACAGCCATAAAACTTCCCCAAAATAATTTGTGTTTGAACTAGAGCATACCTTTAAAAAAAATCCAATCTTGATTTAAAAATTGCCAGTGATGAGAATCTAAACACTGTATACACAAAAAGTCTCTTCTCCATCCCCTCAGCCCCTTGTCCCAGTCTTCCCCCTCATCTCTCCATTCCCTGACCCGCTAGGGCTGGCTCCTCACACCTCTGCATTCCAATCAGGCTCTTTTCTCTTTCTCATTCTTGCTGCTAGGGTGACAGCAGGGAGAGCACTTAGAGCAAAGGACTGGGAATCTTTCTGTTCTTAAGTTCTTTTTCTTGGCACCTAGCTGGCAGGAACAGCAATTGCAGGGAAAGTCCCATTCACCTCTGCAGCCCTGGGATGGAGCACACCCAGCAGAGATGGAATCTTTGGAAAACTCTGCCACCAAATTCTAACAAGTCTCTATTGAGTAAATGTGCAAACAGATTTTCAGAGGCATATAAACTTGGCTAAATTTGAATGATTTTTTACAGAGATGGTAAAAGGCGTATCTCCAGTGCTAGGACAAGTCCCCTCCCTCCACTGCCAAATTATAAGTCCTTGCTCCAAAGCACTGGGGCACTAGAGCTTCTCAGCGACATAGTTTTTAGGTTATTTTTTAACATGGATAGAACAATATTTTTCCCCATCTCATTCAGAGAAATGGCTGAACAATTTTTCCTGAAATTTCCCCAACAAAATTCAGCCCAAGGTATACATCCGGCATGTAAATTTTCAGCCCAAATGGTTAAAATCTGACTAAGTTATAAGCAACTAAAAGCAAGATCTTGAAATGGAAAGCATTTGGCAACCTTAACTATAGTCCTTGCTACCTGTGCTGCCTCTCTCTCTCATACATACACACACACAGCCTCTATAAAATATGCACGCTGTTGGAGGCGCTTTCTTTCAGAGGAGATATTTAATCAAGGGCTAGACAAATGATATTCAGGGCTCAGACCTGCAAAGTATGGAGCATACCCAAATCCAGAAAATCACTTACGCACATGCTTAAAGTTAAGTATGTGAGTAGCCCCTGGGCAAAGTTTAAAATGTGCTTAAATGCTTTTCTAGATTGGGACCAGTGCTCAATGCTTTGTAAGATGGAGCCCTGAAGCTCTGGTTTGAGCGACCACTGCTCATCTGGACCTTGACTTTACATCTCTTCTGAAAGACAGCATCTCCAGTAGCATAGATCCCACAACGTCATGTTGCGTCTTTGCCACCAAACGCCAGTTCCTGGGTTTTCCTTGGAGTTATCCCATCAAAGTAACAAAAGGCTTGCTTAGCCCATGAGAAAAGTGAAATGCCAGAATTGGCCTGGCTATCATATCAGCAGTTAATCAAGCCATACCTATCTTTCTTGTGGTATTTACTCAGTCTTGTCTAACCTTTTACTATTTTGCTCCTCTGAATTTACTCCAATATATCAAGGTCTTTCTGATACTGAGGTGTTCTGAGCACTGCTCAGTACTTGAGGTGTACTCTCATGAGGCATAGGCAGAAGGTGTGACAAATGAGATAGCATCCATCAATACATCATTTTTGCTACAGATGGAGTTACTGAACTGAAGATTTTAAGGCTTTGATGCAGAGGCTGACCTGTTTCCTAACAATTATTCTAGGGGCTGCAAAGACACCCTATGGGGGATAGGGGAAAGAGAATGTTAATTTGGTTGGAGATTCACAGGTCAGTCTGGGACATGAAGGGCTGTCAACATGTTAATAAACACCCCAAGCAGAGGAGAAGAAAACAATCTCAACTATACATATAAAATGATGGGGTCTAAATTAGCTGTTACTACACAAGAAAGATCTAGGAATCATTGTGGATAGTTCTCTGAAAACATCCACTCAGTGTGCAGCAGCAGCAGTCAAAAAAGCTAACTGAATGTAGGGAATCATTAGGAAAGGGATAGATAAGACCGAAAATATCATATGGCCTCTATATAAACCCATGGTATGTCCACATCTTGAATACTGCATGCAGGTGTGGTCACCCCACCTCATAAAAAGATGTATTGAAATTGAAAAAGGTTCAGAACAGGGCAACAAAAATGATTAGGGGTATGGAACATATGAGGAGAGATTAATAAGACTGGGACTTTTCAGCTTGGAAAAAGATGACTAAGGGGGGATATGATAGACGTCTAGAGGAAAAAGTAAATAAGGAAGTGTTATTTATTCCTTTTCATAACACAAGAACTAGGGGTCAACAAATGAAATTAAAAGGCGGCAGGTTTAAACAAAAGGAAGTATTTCTTCACACAACGCAGAGTCAGTTTGTGGAACTTTTTGCCAGAGGATGTTGTGAAGGCCAAGACTATAACAAGGTTCAAAAAGAACTAGATAAATTCCTTGAGGATAGGTCCATCAATGGCTATTAGCCAGAATGGGCATGGATGGTGTCTCTAGCCTGTGTTTGCCAGAAGCTGGGAATGGGCAACAGGGAATGGATCACTTGAGGATTGCCCTGTTCAGTTTATTCTCTGGGGCACCTGGCATTGGCCACTGTTGGAAGACAGAATACTGGGCTAGATGGACCTTTGGTCTGACCCAGTATGGCTGTTCTTATGTGTGTGAGAGAGTGAGAGTGAAAGAAGGGGAGAGGGGGAGAAAGGCAGGTAACCGTACAGTAGAAAGGAGCTTTCAAAATGGAGTTTTGAGAACAGATTAAAGCACTGACCAACACATTACATCTATGCAAACATTGGGGTGACTACGCAGATACAAGCTAGGACTCCACAGATAATATATTAATGCAAGCTCACACCTGCCTGTCTGAAACAGTGGGAAGGTTAACTGGCAGGGCTGAGGCGCACGGAGGGTACATACAGAGGGTAGAACACTTACTCAGTGGGAGAGCTACCGAGACACTGAATTGCTGACAGGAAGAGAGAGAAAGATCCTGATTTCATATGACACAAACAACCGAACCCTAAGGTGTAAAGTAAATACTTGCTGAAATCACTGTGCTGTCACTACAAGAGCTGTAAACTCCATGTGGCACCTTAGGAGACTAACAAATTTATTTGAGCATAAGCTTTTGTGAGCTATAGCTCACTTCATCGGATGCATTCAGTGGAAAATACAGTGGAGAGATTTATATTCATAGAGAACATGAAACGATGGGTGTTACCATACACACTGTAACGAGAGTGATCACTTAAGGTGAGCTTTTACCAGTTGGGGGGGGGGGGACCTTTTGTAGCGATAATCAAGGTGGGCCATTTTCAGCAGTTGACAAGAACGTCTGAGGAACAGTGGGGGTGCGGGGGGGAATAAACATGGGAAATAGTTTTACTTTGTGTAATGACCCATCCACGCCCAGTCTTTATTCAAGCCTAAGTTAATTGTATCCAGTTTGCAAATTAATTCCAATTCAACAGTCTCTCATTGGAGTCTGTTTTTGAAGTTTTTTTGATGAAGAATTGAACCAACTTTTAGGTCTGTAATCGAGTGACCGAAGAGATTGAAGTGTTCTCCAACTGGTTTTTTAATGTTATAATTCTTGACGTCCGATTTGTGTCAATTTATTCTTTTATGTAGAGACTGTCCGGTTTGGCCAATGTACATGGCAGAGGGGCATTGCTGGCACATGATGGCATATATCACATTGGTAGATGTGCAGGTGAACGAGCCTCTGATAGTGTGGCTGATGTGATTAGGCCCTATGATGGTGTCCCCTGAATAGATATGTGGACACAGTTGGCAACGGGCTTTGTTGCAAGGATAGGTTCCTGGGTTAGTGGTTCTGTTGTGTGGTGCGTGGTTGCTGGTGAGTATTTGCTTCAGATTGGGGGGCTGTCTGTAAGCAAGGACTGGCCTGTCTCCCAAGATCTGTGAGAGTGATGGGTCGTCCTACAGGATAGGTTGTAGATCCTTGATGATGCGTTGGAGAGGTTTTAGTTGGGGGCTGAAGGTGATGGCTAGTGGCATTCTGTTATTTTCTTTGTGGGCCTGTCCTGTAGTAGGTGACTTGTGGGTACTCTTCTGGCTCTGTCAATCTGTTTCTTCACTTCAGTAGGTGGGTATTGTAGTTGTAAGAATGCTTGATAGAGATCTTGTAGGTGTTTGAGGGGTAGTGAAGGACACTATCAGAGGCTCGTTCACCTGCACATCTAACAATGTGATATATGCCATCATGTGCCAGCAATGCCACTTGCCATGTACATTGGTCAAACTGGACACAAATCAGACGTCAAGAATTATAACATTCAAAAACCAGTCGGAGAACACTTCAATCTCTTTGGTCACTCGATTACAGACCTAAAAGTTGCAATTCTTCAACAAAAAAACTTCAGAAACAGATTCCAACGAGAGACTGCTGAATTGGAATTAATTTGCAAACTGGATACAATTAACTTAGGCTTGAATAAAGACTGGGAGTGGATGGGTCATTACACAAAGTAAAACTATTTCCCCACGTTTATTCCACCGCCCACCTCCCACTGTTCCTCAGACATTCTTGTCAACTGCTGGAAACGGCCACCTTGATCATCACTACAAAAGGTTCCCCCCCACTCTCCTGCTGGTAATAGCTCACCTTCAGTGATCACTCTTGTTACTGTGTGTACGGTAACACCCATTGTTTCATGTTCTCTATGTATATAAATCTCCCCACTGTATTTTCCACTGAATGCATCCAATGAAGTGAGCTGTAGCTCACGAAAGCTTATGCTCAAATAAATTTGTTAGTCTCTAAGGTGCCACAAGTACTCCTTTTCCTTTTGCAAATACAGACTAACATGGCTGCTACTCTGAAACCTGTTATTACGGAGAGAATTTTACACTGATCACAGTTTATTGGATATGATTTTCTCTCACCTCTTTTCTAGGCACTTTGTTTTAACTAAGATCCCTGGGGTTTAAAACCACTGGGAATGGGAATATTCCCCATCAGATGTTCCCAGAAGTGAAGGGGAGATCTGGACTATAATGTCCCTCAGGTCCCTGGTTGAAAGTATGGACCAGAAGGTCCTGTTCCCCAAGGTTGATGTTGCTGCCCAGGTTGGAGGGAGTGTAAGGCCTGGGGAAAGCTGAAATATGAGGGGTGAGGAAGAATTTAAGTGGGAAAGGGGCTATTGCCTCCCTAGTCTGGAACATGCTATCATATCACAAGTATTATCATTACTGTAGTGCCTAGAGACTGGGGCTCCATTGTGCTAAGCACTGTACAAACACATAGTGAGAAAGTCCCCAAACAGACAAGACAGACAAAGAGGTGGAGACCAAAGACAAGCACACTGAGGTTAAGTGATATGCCCAAGATAAAGCAGCAGGTCAGTGCCATGTCTGGGAATATAAAGCAAGCCTCCTGAGTCCCAGCCCTATTCTTTGAACCACACTGCCTCACAATGCAATCTCTCATATCTATTTGTATTCATCCTTCTCTTCAACAATTCTCAGTTTGACACGGTCTGTGAATTTTAATCAATGTACCCCTTCTAGATCACTGATAAAGATGTTAAACAACACTGGATCGAATACCAATCAGCAGGTCCCTACTAGGCATCTTCTTTCAGCTGAATTCGTTGACATTTACCTTTAACCTTTGTTTATGGTCTTTTAGCCAGTTTTCAGTCCACATGGACAGTGTTAATACCTAAGCCAATTTAAATGTATTTTCTCTCTCAAATTAAGCGCCAGAGCTCAATCCCTATTTCCCCAGCAATTGATGAAGCCATATTTTCATACTGCCCTAATTATTGCCATTATCACTGACAGGATTTGAACCTACAATGTGATGAACATGATGGCATTCTTCCCGCCAAGTTCTTACTGTACTCCCAGCCAAGAACCCAGGGGTATTGTGCTGTTGAACACATTGGCCAACATTTTTCAAAAGCGGCTAGTGATTTTTGGGTCACCCAGTTTGAGTCATCTTCACAGATTTTTAAAATCAGAAGGGACCATTGTGATGCTCCAGTCTACATAACCTGCAGGCTACATCTGTGTTATACAGATGACCTGCATAACACAGACCACATTATTTCACCCAGGGCTTCCTGAATCTAGTCCATCCACCTGTGGATAACCGCAGTATCTCTTGCGGGAAGCATCCAATTTTTGGCTTAAAGAAAAGAAAACCTTAGAGGGATCCAATTTTCAGAAGGTGCTTGTCACTTTCTTAAAAATCAAGCCCCTGTAGGGTGTCATAAATTGGTCATCCAGAAAATCGAGGTAACCCAAAAATCATTACTCCTTTTTGAAATACCATCTTTTGCATGCGAAATAAAACCAAAGTCCTGACCATTTTTGGTCAATGACATCTTGTGGCATTTAAATAAAAACAAAAAATAAGAGTGTTAATCACGTTGCCCCAGTCAAAATTCCAACTTGGGTAATTTAAAGGAGAATTTTAGTTAGAAATCAGAATATTGTTTGAATTGCTTACGGTATGCTTCTTTCTTCCCTGCGCTAAACTGCTATGTAATGTTGCTGTGCGTTGCTAAAAAGCCACCATTTTTATTGCCATGAACACCAACCACAGCTGCATTTTATCCCAGGGGGAAGTGACCACTATATAATTTGTATATCAGTTTATAAAAGACAGCAAGATTCAGAAAACCACCAAGTAAAGAGGCACAGGACTGCTGCCAATTATAGGCACCATAAAAGATTACTTATTTTTCAGTAGCATTATTTGGACAAGAAGCACAGAGCAGATTCACACTGAGAAATAAAGTTAAGCATGAAGGCCTGATTCTCCAGGGAGACAGGCAGTAAAGACAGCAACAGTTCCAAATTTTCTGATAAAGGAAAAAAAAAAAAAACAAAAAAAAAAAACTTACTGTGGATTTATATCTGGATTAATCTTTTTCAGTTCCATGATGTCATCTATAGTTTTTTCAATGGCATCTGGATGAACACTTACTGAAGTTTGCAGCAGCTGGAAATATATTTTAACATAAATTAACTACTATAAGGTGATATTTAGTGGATACTCATTGCGGTGGAATGTGATGCACATGAGAACTTCTAGATTGACAGCTCAGGAAACCCAACTTTCTATATGCACACAGAACAAATACACCCTGGGCAGCCCTTTCAGTGTGTTTAATTCCCATACCTTGACCCTGATCATCCTCCCTCCTAGTGAGGAGCCAGGTTACCTTCCCAGGCTCACTCAATCCTGTACATCTCTATGGTGGTTGCCAACTGTGAAGATATTTTGTATTGTGGACTTTGGTCTAATACGAACTAGACTGAGACCACGAACTCCGAAAATATATTTGCATTTCTGGCCTCCATACGGTATTAAAATACCAGAGCATATGGTATACGAGTTTTGTGTAAGGTAAACGGACACACTCCAGACATATAGCAATAAAGCAAGAAAAATGTTTTTTCCCCCATGTATTTCAAGTGATCCCACTAGCAAGATTAGAGATGCACAATCGCTAGAGTGAATTAATAGGAAAGACCCTCTGAACCATCAAATTATCAAAACCTAGCAAGAACTCAGAGAAGTTCAAAATGGATTAAATCTTTTGAAAATCTGCTCTGGCAACCTCACTTGTCACTTGCACATATGCAGGTATTCAGTGTGTAGAACAGATTCACAGAAACGAGGTCTAGAAGGAACCTCAAGAGGTCAGCTAGTCCAGCCCCGCATACTGAGGCAGGATTAAGAATACCTAGAGCATCCCTGACAGCATCCAGCCTGTTCTTAAAATCCTCCAAGGATGGGGATCCCACAATCTCCCTAGATAATCTGTTTCTGTGCTTAAAACTACCCTTATAGTTAGAAAGCTTTTCCTAACACCTAACCTAAGTCTTCCTTGCAGAAAACTAAGACCATTATTTCCTGTCCTACCGTCAGTGGATTTGGAGAAAAATTTATCACTGGTCCTCTTTATAACAACCTTTCACATATCTGAAAACTGTTATTACATCCCCCTTAGTCTTCTCTTCTCTAGACTGAACATGCCTAATTCTTTCACGCTTTCCTCATAGGTCAAATTTTCAAAACTTCTCACAATGTAGGTTCATACTTTCCATTAGCTACACTGAAACATGTATAGAGTAGATGCCATTTAGTTTATTTTGTGCAATTTTTTTGTAATGCAGATATAAATAGCATGCTTTCCAATGACACTGGATTTCCCTTCCCAGACAGAAGCGTATAGTTTGAAAATATAGTTTTTATGTTCTCATGCTCTTCTCTTTAACTCATGCAATGTATTTAGAATAACAGAATTCTAGTTTTACAGTTTGAGGAGAAAAGACTGAGAGGCTGTTTTAAATATTTGTATGAACATTCATAAAAGTGAGGGACAAACACCACACTGCCCAGGTACTTCTACATGTCCCCCAGTCACCATAAGGTACAGAAGTAATATCCCCAATTTTACATATACAGAAACTGAGGCAAAGGGTGATTCAATGAATTGCCCCTGGTCACCCAAGAAGTCTTTGGCAAAATCAGGAACTGAACCAAGGACTCCTAAGTCTTAGTCCAGTGCCTTAACCACAAGATCATCCTATCTCCCTTTTCTTATTTGTCTCCATTACTGCCTACAATGCACTAAGCATTTTATAAACACAAACAGTTTCCCAATATAGTTTTGTTGAACTCAATCTTATCTTGCAAAACCACCTGCTACTCTAGCCACAGACTTCTCCTGAGGAGAGGTTGCTATTTATGCTACAGTGTGTCAGTCTTTATATAGGTTTTGTGAGGTGGGAAAACTAGTGTGCTAATTTTGACAAGTGAACACTGTGATGGGGTGCCTACCCCACAAAAGCATAGAAGGGGTTAATCATGCCCTGCCCCAGAAGGAGCAACGGAGGTGAGTCCTCCGAGCATCCCAGAGAGGCTGTGTGAAGCACAGCCATTCGGAGAGTAGTTGCAAAGAGCACCCAATCTAGGCCCGGCAGGCTGGGATAAAGGGGAGCTGCAAGGTCAGTTGCTGCTGGGAGCCCAGGGAGAAAGGACTGTGTCCCTGGAGGGCTGAGAGAACTACGCACCCTGGACAGAGCAGCTACTAGCAGGGACTGGGGGAGTGAGAGGGAGCTTCTGGCTGTCTGCTGGGACTGAGCAGCTGAGTGCCCTGAGGTAAGGTGAAGAAGGTGCTGGGGCCATGGGGAAAGGGGCCCAGGGAAACATAGCAGCATTGACACAGGTTACAGAGGAGCAGCAGGAGGCTGCTATTTACAGAGTCCCTCGGCTGGGGTGCAGAGTAGTGGGCAGGCCCGGATCCCTCCTCGCCACTGAGAAAAATGGCTGGACTGTTGGACAGTTATCCTCTCCCTTCCCCTCCCTCGGAAGGTGGAAACACAGACTATGGCATAGCCTGAGGGCTGAGTCGCAAAGAGGATGCTGCAGTTCTGGGAGCCGAGAGCGGAGCAGCAAAGAGAGTGCCGGTGTACAGACCACGGACATGGGCACTGGCCTTGAGCTAATCTGCAGCACGACTAGGAGGCAGCAGCGCCAGTCTGGGGACGAGGGCTGCACCCCGTGACAAACATGTTGTCATCTATTTTACAAATTGGAAAGAGGCATGCTGTGAAATGCTGAGTGGAAAAGTATACGAGAGAAAGAGGGAGAGAGAAGTTCACTCACCTTATTTTTTGAACCCCTCAGTGATGTCTCTGTTAAGGAAACAATTATTTAAAAACATAATTATTTCAGTTCATTTTTAAGCCAAACAACATACACTGTGCGTGTGTAGTGGCCACACTTATAGACAAGAACAGAAACATGAGGAATACCAGGTATTTTACACTTACCTATCTTCATAGTTCTGCTGGCCCCAGGTTTGATATTGTAACAGATCCTTTGTAATTCACATCGTCCTGTTAATTTCCTCACCACAAATTTCAGACAGCGCCACAAACATTTACAGTAGAAGAACAGGCAGACCTGGACAAACATTCTGTCAAAGGAAATGTTAAAGTGAGAATTTGGAACTGAATTTGTCTAAACGAAACAGGCAGGATTTTAAGATGCCTAACTGTGTATCTGAAGGACAAAACTTTTATACAAGGAACAAATGGAGTCTTATTCTGCAATAGATTACTTATACAAGTAACTTTTGCAGAATCAGGCCCTTCAGTTTTACCCAGTTAGAAAAAGCCAAACCACGAATCAGCTCAGAAAAGAATCCCCAAAAGAATTTTAGTTCTATGAAATTTTCCCCCGCCTTAATATAGGAGTTTGTGTGCATAAGTCTTCTTAATGTCAACAGGAATTATGCCCATATAATAAGGGGTGTACAGAGCTCAGAATGATTATAGTACTGTAAAGTCTAGTGAGCCACAACTCCTTAATTCCATATCCCACTTTGATACAAACTCTATCCCCTTGAGCCAGTCACTCAACCTCTCATCTTGACTGAGAGGTTAAAGGATTATTAATACTGATTAATACGACGATATCTAATTCCCAGGGCATGAGAATGAATGGCCCTAATTAGGGAAAGCACTGAATGTTCCTTTAATCATGCATTTGAGTGGCTGTCCTGAACAAGGATGATTCCTGAACAAGGGCCAATGTTTGTTCAGCCCTTTGAAGATGGGGAGCAGCCACACAGCAGTGTTTATAATAATCACAAGGTCACAGAAGTCTAGGTACGCTGCAGTTCTGAAGAGGATTCTATTTTACATTCATGTCAATATTTTGTTACTAAAATAAAAATTCTAACAATATGTTTTATTGCATTTATTACGGTACTGCTTAAGGACCAATGAAGGATGTACAAACACAGGCTAATAAATGGTCCCTGTCCCCGAAGAGCTTACAGTCTAAATAGGCAAGACAGACAAAGGTGGGGAAAGGGATATAACACACAGAGTGAACTATGTGATGGCAGCAAGTGTTCCACAATTATTATTATTATTTGCTGTGTTTAGTTAGGAGGGGATTAGATAAGTAAAGCCACAATAGCATGCCTGCATTTAAATTTTTTTTCCACAGAACTGCGACTATTATCTGCAGAAAAACCTTCAGACCCAAGAAATGCATTCTCTGAGCAAATCATCCATGTAGTCCTTTTACTGCTGTGGATCTGAAGGACCAGATCCTGCAGACTGTCAAATAACTCTTAACTCCCATTCGCTTCACTAGGAGTGGAGGGAAGTGCAGGAAGCACTCAGCAGTCCAAAGGATCAGACCCTAATTTCAGAAGCAACAGTCTAATTACAAAAATAGTTCTGATAATTGGGAGAATGACTCACTAGTTTTCAATGGTATTATGTTAAAAGGGCTCAAGAAGAGCAACCCGTTAAGTTCCACGTCTCTCATTCTACTATAATTTTATATAAAAGGAAGTAATGTGATGAATGCTATGTAAGTGCCAAGAATATTTGGAAAACAGATTATACAGAATTTACATATTTGGCAACAGACCCCGAATTTAAGCTTATGTGTCAAGTTCTTGAAATTAGTTATACTGAAATACAAAAGCCTTGTTTACACTTCAAATGCTTTGGCAGTATAGCTATACAAGCAGAGTCCCTAATGTAGTACTCCTTTTCTTTTTCCTAACGTAGATGTGACTCACGCTGCCAGAAGGAGTTTTCTGTTGACACAGTAACACCATGTCCCCACATGACAACAGCTATTCCAACAGAAGAACTATTCTCTCAGCATCTACACTGGGGGTTTGCAGACATAGCTATACCAGCTAGGGTGTTGTTTTTTTTTTAAACACACTCCAGACCAACACAGCTAAGCCAACAAAACTTTGTAGTATAGACCTGACCACTGTGTAAGATACTCAACCAGTGTAAACTGGCTCAGCATTAATAGAGCAGTATCAATTCACAACAGGTCAAGATCAGTCCCTACAAGCACATTTACACAGAGACACTAAGGCCTGCTCTACACCAGAAAATTAGATCAGCATAACTAGGTCACTCAGGGGTGTGAAAAATTCTGCACCTCAGAGTGGCCTAGTTAAGTGAACCTAGTCCTAGTTTCCTCTGGGGGAGGTGGTTTACCTATGCCGATGTTAGCATATGTAGTGTCTACACTGAAGGGCTACAGCTGTGCCACTGTAGCATTTTAAATGTAGACATACCCTAAGGAAAATTAAGCCACAATAACTAAAGGTGTGAAGATAAAAGGTGCATTAAACCCCTGTGTGGGTGCTTAGTTTCCTTTAGTTTAATCCTCTTTGAAGGAGGATTAAGCTAAAACTAAGGAAAGCCACTTTACATCTGAATGAGAGCATCCACATGAGGGTTAAATGCACCTGAACTAATGTGCTTTGACTTTACACCATTAGTTAATTTGTCTTAACTTGCCTAAGTGTCCTAGTGTAGACGCGCCCTTAGTATTTATCCCACAGGAAGTCTGTATTTTGGATTCAGTCAGAAAGCCTGATGACTTTTAAGGGCTTGTCTACACATACACCGATGCAGCTGTGCCGCGTATGGCGAACATGCTCTATGTCAGCAGGAGAGCCTCTCCTGCCGACATAGTGCTGTCCACACCAACCCTTATGGTGGTGTAATTTATGTCCCTCAGAGGGGTGGTTAATTCACACCCCTGAGAGAGAAATTATGCGGACATAAGCTGTAATGTAAACATAGCCTAAATGATGTGTCCCCTCTGGAATCAAATATACACAGATATGGAGAATACCCCAATTGCTAGCACTAAAATGTTCTTGCACATTAAAAGCAAAGTGAGGATTTACTCCAATATATGCCAGGCAACCAACTTCTTAGTATTAAGAGAGCAAACAAAACAGTCAGGAAAAAAAAAATCCCACCACTAAGCAGATGCACAGATATTGCTAAGGTCTTTGCAGCAGTCTGAAGTATAAATCAGGCGAAAGGAGAGAATAAAATGTGTCATACGAAGGCAGCCAATGTGTTCATCCATAATCTTCAATTCTGCTCCTGCAAAAATAGACTCTAAAGCTGGACATTTCAGTACTCCAGCAGTCACATATTCCCCATGAGTCATTGTGGTTGTTGCTATCCTGGATTAGGTTACTATCTTCAAACAACAAAACAAGCACAACTCAGCAACAGATACCTGATGAAGTTGATGGAACGTTAAAGTGCTCATCTGCATCCCTACTAAGGCAGAACTCCAATGAAGTAAACGAGAGTTCTATCTGAGAGCACTGCTGGCTGGGACCCAAATGGAGTAAGACAAAAAATTTGCTTTTTGATCACTGATATGTGCTGTAAATGAATATCACATACTATTTGGTGTGCAGTGCATTTTACGATTCCAATGTACTTCTGTTGCAGCAATGTCCGTAACCCACAGTGGTCATCTCTTCTTTGCATATAGAAGAAAGATCCATTTATCTCCAAGCAAGCTGCTCAATCAAAATGTTTATTTCCAATGCAGAGAATTACTCTTACAAACAGCATAGCTCCTTTATAAAAACTCTATGGTTGTAGTTAACTCATTCCCTTGGAGCTTAAACATGACAATCCATCTTTCATTACTAGTAAAAATCTGGTTTTATGGAGAACAAGTGTTCCTGGAAATGGATAAAGTCTCAAAAACTTGCTAGTTGTGACGTGTTATTCTGGCACTGCCTTTAGGTTCAATAATGAAACATGCTTATAGTGGTATAAGGAGTTTGGACTTCACAGCTGTTTTTCCCTCGTTTATGTTCACCATTATAATTTTGTGTATGGCTTGTACTAAGCATGGCTATCCCCGCCTATAAATGGGGATAATGATACTGACCTCCTTTGTACAGCATTTTGAGATCTACAGATGAAAACAGCTAGATAAATGCTAGGTTATTTTTATTATTAACCAAAAGTACAGCTATTAAAAATAGACTACAGTGCTAAAGAAATGAAAGACACTGCAAATGTGACTTACCATAAAACGTTTGACAGTGGCTGTTTTTAATAAAGCAGACTGCATTAATTATAACTAGGCACCTAGAGTAAAAAAAAAAAATCTTTGTTTTGTAGATACCTGTAATGTTATACTACTCGTCCATCTTAACCTTGTGATAGTGGAAGTCTTCTTTACAACGAGAATGGTATGAACAGTTACTGAAATTTGTTTTCAATTATTTTTTTTTTTAACAAAAACGAATTCTTGCTTGCAGAAATCCTGTAATGAAAGCACACTGCTGATGAAATGGGCTAGGTTTTTATTTTAAAGTGAACTGACAAACTCCTAGACACCCACCAAGTGAAACAAAGAGATTGAGAATTTAAATAAATATCTAGTGCGGCATTACAGTATGATCACTGAATTAGGTTGGATGACACACACGACTGCCTCTGGCAACATATGCCAATACCTTCCAAATTCTTGTGGAAATAGATTCCCCTTCCTCCCCTCCCCCAAGCTTGCTCTAGGTCTGGCACATGTTTTCTTTGCACAGAAAATGTAGAGCCTGATTCGCCACTGGCTTGTGTAGCCATTTACACCTGCTCAAAGTGGTTCCAAAATGATAATCAAACTTCTCCACTCAAGTGAGCATTAATTCAACATTAAGGTTCAGAAAACCAAGTATGCAAAACTTAGGACATTTCTAAAAAGTAGGGTTTGTTCCCCCACAGCATGAGCTCCACAACACTGCACACACGCACATTATCACACACATATGTACAGTCTACGTTATGCATACTTAACAGAGAAGGAAAGCCTTCTGTCTTTTTTAACCCAAAATTCCTAGTTTTACAAAAGCTATTTGCTTTTTTACCAATTTTCATTCTTATTTTGGACCACTGAAGTCTATGAAAATACTGATTATATTATGAAAATCCAATATGTTACATTAGGTAGAAGATTTTATGTTAATAATAAATTAGTCTAAGTGTAAATGCGAGGCAGTCTGTTAAACTAAGGCAATGTACTGCAAGACACACATACATGCATGCGTGTCATATGCATAGATTGGTGATTGAGTCTGGATGGAGAGATGGCGGCTTGACAACCTGT